TAATGTCACAAACGTCAGGGATGTTTTGTGATAATAAGCCAAATAAAAAATTTGATAAATTAGGGGCAAGTTTTCAACCCAACCCAACAAGTCTAGGTTTCATTTTCCTTTCAGTTTTGTTTGGCCCAAACGTAAACAAACTTACACACAACCTTCTCACAAGAAGCAAAGCAGGAGTGAAAACCAGCTAAACCCCTCTGCCTTCCTTCCTTTCACTTCACCTTCATTTCCAATTCGCTAGGGTTTAAGCATTTCCCACCACTCTCACTGTATCACAGCCATGTCACTCTACCGCCTCCTCCTCCGCTCTCTCCGCTCTCTCCGCCGCCCCTCCACCCCTCCCTCCCTAACCCTAACCCAATCCCTCACCTCCCTCTCCCTCCAAAACCCTAACCCTAGCATTCCTCTCCATCTCACCACCACCGCCACGCGCACCTTCGCCTTCTCCTCCGCCGAAGAAGCCGCCGCTGAGCGCCGACGCCGCAAGCGTCGCCTCCGTATCGAGCCCCCGATCAACGCCCTCCGGCGCGACTCACACCCTCCTCCCCCACGTGACCCCAACGCGCCCCGCCTCCCTGACACCACCTCGGCCCTTGTGGGCCACCGCCTCAACCTCCACAACCGCGTCCAGTCGCTCATACGCGCCGGTGACCTCGACGCCGCCTCTGCCGTTGCACGCCACTCGGTCTTCTCCAATACGCGCCCCACCGTCTTCACCTGCAACGCCATCGTTGCTGCCATGTACCGTGCCAAGAGGTACAATGACGCTGTTGCCCTCTTCCACTTCTTCTACAATCAATCGAACATTGTTCCAAATGTTGTATCTTATAATATTTTGATTAATGCTCACTGCGATGATGGCCGGGTTGATGTGGGCCTCGAGGTTTATCGGCATATACTTGCAAACGCCCCCTTTAGTCCCTCGCAGGTGACATACCGGCATTTGACTAAAGGATTGGTCGATGCCGGTAGGATAGGTGAGGCTGTAGACATGTTGAGAGAGATGTTGAATAAGAACCTCGGCGCTGATTCTGGTGTGTATAATAATTTGATTACTGGATTCTTGCATTTGGAGAATTTTGACAAGGCTGTTGAGCTTTTTGACGAGCTTAAAGATAGGTGTTTGGCGTACGATGGGGTTGTGAATGCGACATTTATGGATTGGTTTTTCAATAAGGGGAAAGAGAAGGAAGCAATGGAGTCATACAAGTCCGAGCTAGATAGGCAGTTTAGGATGACCACGGCAACTGGTAATGTTCTTTTGGAGGTGTTGCTTAAGCATGGGAAGAAGAAGGAGGCCTGGGCTTTGTTCGATCAGATGTTGGATAATCACACCCCGCCAACTATCCAGGCTGTGAATTCGGAAACATTTAACATAATGGTTAATGAGTGTTTTGGGCTTGGAAAGTTTGATGAGGCGCTTGCCACCTTTAAGAAGGTGGGGACAAAGGTGAATTCGAGACCTTTTTCTATGGATGTTGCAGGGTATAATAATATCATTGCTAGGTATTGTGAGAATGGGATGTTATCAGAGGCTGAGACACTGTTTGCTGAATTATCCTCAAAGGCGTTGACCCCGGATGTTACTACTCATAGGACTCTGATTGATGCATATTTGAAAGTAGAGAGGATAGATGACGCTCTTAAGATATTTAGAAGAATGGCGGAGGTTGGTTTGCGAGTGGTTGCTAGTCTTGGTAACAGGGTGTTTGATGAATTGATTAAGAACGGGAAGGCAATGGATTGTGCACAGATTTTGAAGAAAATGGGAGAAAAAGATCCTAAACCAGATGCCATTTTCTATGATGTTGTGATTAGGGGGCTCTGCAATGAAGATGCATTTGACCCAAGCCGTGATTTACTGGAAGAAATGGTGAGGTATGGCATTGGTGTTTCTCCAGCATTGCAGCAATTTGTAAATGAGGTTTTTGGAAAAGCTGGGCGTGGTGAGGAGATTCAGAGAGTATTAAATATGAGTAAGTGGGGATACACACCAGCACAGGCAAGACCTCGGCAATTCCAGCCAATGAGGTCACCTCAAATGGCAGGACAACAGGAGCCTCCATCAGGACCCTCTCAAATGGCAGGACAACATCACCCATCGTCAGCACCCCCTCAAATGGCTGGACCATCCTCATCTGGACCTTATCAAATGGCAGGACAACATCACCCATCTTCAGCACCCCCTCAAATGGCTGGACCGTATCAGCCACCATCTGGACCTTATCAGCCACCATCTGGACCTTATCAAATGGCAGGACAACATCACCCATCATCAGCACCCCGTCAAATGGCTGGACTTTATCAGCCACCATCTGGACCTTATCAAATGGCAGGAACTTACCAAACATCAACAGGTTCTCCACAGATGGCAGCAAGCCAGCACCATCCGGCTCAACCCCCTCAAATGGCAGGACAATATTACCCCCCATCAGGAGCCCCCCATGTAGCAGTACCACACCATCCGCCGTCCGGAGTCCCTCACGTGACAGCTTCATACCCACCATCTGAAGCTTCTCAGACCCTAGGACCACAGCACCCTCTGTCAGGATCTGCTGAAGGGATAGAATCACAACAATCACCATCAGAAGCCCCTCAGATAACAGAACAGGTAGCAGCTGCTTGATTCTTAGATATTGAGTCATTGATTGAGATGCCAGTACTTTTCTGTCCTGATTTTCAGTTGGCCAATGCTACATCATGGTTATGCTAAGTGTCTCTCCATGCCACAAGCTTGTGGCGTTTTCGCTTGAGTAAGAGTGGGGGCTTACGGGGCTTCAATTGCGTCTTCACTGTTAATTCTCTTTTATATGTTCTATAAAAATTAACAGGATAATTTATTTGTTCCACAGTTATTAAAGATACTTTGACTTATAATAAAGTTAAATTTCAATGGTAAATTCTTGTGCATGTTAAATATATGAGATGACCTTGTAGGCCAATGATGACTGACTTTGAGTACGTTGTACTATGAACTTGGTAATCTACGTTTCAGGAAAATGTTGCTTCATGAATCACAGCATTAGTATTGAGATTCACAGCCTAAAGATGAACGGTAGGTGATCACATCCAGGTGACTGGTGTTCAGTTTTGTAGTTTGAATGTTTTTCTTGAAACTGGTTCTTTGTGGTGACTTGCATTTTTGCACAATTTGCCCTGTCCCTCTGTAGCATCCCTTTGCATTACTTGTTCAAGGGACCACGGATTCATTGTAATGGTACAAGGAGTAAAACGCATTTTGGGTCGATTCAGTAGATAGTGCTTTGCTACTGCATATGCACTCAACTGCTAATATATTTATATTATTGTCTATCCAATATCTTATATTGTTTTGTTACCGTCATTTTGATTAGTTGAAATTTATGTGACTCAATCTACCCTTTTCGAACTTTATGGCTCATCCATTTTATGTCATTTTCAGTATTTTTTTTGTTTACTTTTAGTTTGTAGTTTGTAGTTTGTGTATATTTCATTTTCGCCCCATTGACTTGGCTCCTTTAAGCCGACTATATATTTTGTATTAGGCCTTTCTCTTGCCCTTGCTTTTGCAGATTTAATGATACTGACCATCATAAAAGGCCTCCCTCCCTCCTACTTTTCCAACAGGATTTGTTATTGCCCACTTCTGTGAATCTAAGTTGTATTATTGCCTTGCGTTGGACTAATATTGTACTTCTCATTGTAGAATTGTCGGGTTTGCTTGAACAAAACTGAAACATGGCCTTGTTATTGCAGATTTTTTAATGTTACGTTGATCTTTGCTCTTGCTATTGCAGATTGATTGAATCGATTGAATCTGCTAGCCTAAACATGATCTAACTATATGATATGAAATTTGAGAAAGATCATGGTGCAAATATGAATAAATTTAATGCAGAAACATGTTTTCTTTCATTCTTAAAAACAGATTTGGATGTGCAAAGATCAATTTAATCAAGCCTTATGGACAGCTTGATTGAAATTTGAATTGAGTAGATCCATTAGCCTCATCAAGATCTAACCAAAATATGGGAAATGAAATCTAGATAAAAATGCAAGATAAAGTCGTTTTCTCCCTTCAAGAGGTCATGAAGAAGCTCAGCTGCTATTTCTCACTCTAAAGCCATGAAGCCCTTAAATCCCAATTGGAAACAGGTTGTTTATTATCAGAGTTTAAGACAGCTTTTGTGTCATAATCCTTTTCTTTTGTTTTAAAATACATTTGAGTTAGCAAAAATGAATTAGTCCAGTTGGTTTAGACAATGAACTTGTTCTATTGCGTGCAAGTTCGAATCACGGTGGATGTAGCTCAATTTCATGGGTGAACCACTCTCTCTCTTAGTGTTATGTGTGTCATTGTGTCGATTCAATTTCATGGTTTTACAATCATTATGAACATGGATCACACTTTGGCAAACAAGAAAATCAGATCACTTGAATATGGGGGGTTTCTTTCTTTCTTTATACACTTCAATTCCGTTTAAAGATTTTATAATGTTCTGTTGTCGTCCGCATACACAAAGCAACCGACCAACACAAAACAAACCAGATAGTTCACCAAAAAGATTTCAGTACCATTAATAAATTTAATCTTCTATATTAATGCTTTCCTTCTTCGAAGGAGTTTGCGGATTCCAAAATTTATTTAAGAACCAACATATTCTCTCAATGATAGAGAACCCAAACTCTCTATCCAAAACTATCTGTACATTTTTGTATTGATGCAAAACTGATTGGCCAAAACCCCTACGGTCGGACAAGAATAAAAGTCCTACAAAAAATTCTCTGCTCATAGAATCAAAATTCCATCACTGATGAGGCCAGATCCAGCAATGGCTCCAATGCACTTGGTGCAAACTTCCTAGCAAATAGGTAACAAATGGATGTCATCTCTGAATTGTACTGACAGAGTGCTCCATTGTTACGTATCGACCGTACCAAATCTTCTGTAATGTTATCTCCCGCGTATGTTGCAGGGTGCGGACCTCCCAGCGACCAGTCAACCCAAGTCACGGTCCGATTTGAGTTTAGTGATCCATGGAACATGTTGAAGTAAGTTGGCATGTAATGCTCATCCGGGTAGCAAGCAGGCAAGCAATACCTGCTGAAGAGGGTGTAGTACTTTGTTTCTGAGACTATGTAAATTGCTAATGTACGGCTAAGTTCAAACCACTGAGACCCTTTCCTCCACTGATAGAGTTCAATCTCAGGAAGCATTTTTCGGCTGTAACGACCACGTCCATAACGGCCAGGATCGTCGTACGACTCAACAAAGCTATGGTTAGAGCCAATGAGATACTTGTAGACAGTCGGGAAATTATAGACTGGGATGCAGCTTTCAGAGAGAAGAATAAAGCGCTGATTTGAGAAGTCAAGCAAGGCATTGGATAGAAGGCGCCTCTCTGCATCAACTAGTGTTACTGTTCCCCATGAAACAGGCTGCATAGAATAAAAGTTTTAAGGTTAGGCAGCATATAATTCATCGAGAACGCATAGAACACTATCAACAGATACGAAAACAAACACAAATGTAAGCCTGTGAACCATTCATGAAATGCGCGGATCAATTGTATAACCAATCTTACTAAGAATTAGCATCTACCATGTCTGCACAACCTTCATAGATTAAAGGATGGCTGCATAACAATTAAGGGTTCTCTGTTTGCAGCCATGCACCACTGTCTAAGATCCATTAAGAACATTCCTAAAAGGTAGATATATCTCATGCTGTACAAGTTTAAACAAAAATCTAAATCTAACCATACCACTACCTACTTGATACACAAACATTTGGTATCCAGTTGAAACTCCCCATTGCAACTCTATTACGCTGAGAAGGCGGTGTTACAACACCATAGTACCTAATAAGTTTTCAAAATTGGGTCCATGCTAAAACTTATTGACATGATGACAACTAAATCTAAGGATCATGATCAGGAAAATAGCAAGACATGGATAATATATATAGTTCTGAAACAAGTTACACCAGAGGAATGATGAATTCATTTCACTCCAAGTGAGGCTACTGTGTCACTTCCAAATTAATCAGCACTTAGCTACTGCTATCACTTAACTAAAAAGCATATTAGTGAAATTTCAAGTCAAAGAGTCTACAATCCATGAACAAAAACATAAATGAATTCAAATTTACACCAAATAAAATTTCCGTAGCTAAGAAATTCAGTTCACTCCCTCCACCCCAAACTCAGGCAATTATTTTCATGTCAACCTCACAACATTGATATGAAACTACAACAATACGGCGATAACATAAGTATATAAATCAAGAGAAAAAATGAGAAGTATTAAAACAGCAGAGTATCAGTAACAAAAAATTATATGATTTAGCATGCCTTGTACCTGACTGGGAATTTGGCGTCCATAAAAGGGAGAAGTGCTAGATACATTGAGCTTATACCCTGGAAACATGTGCAAGTAAATCGAGAAAAACTTGTCATGGCCTTGAAAAAACCTCTCCCACAATGGCATCATGGGCAAAGGTCCTCTACTCAAAAACATGAAAGCCACTTTAGGTACTCTCTCGAATGGAAAGTCTTCCTTCCCGGGCACCATTGAAGCTCTCCAAAAGAGCTCATCATCAGACATACCGTGTGTCAAATTCTTCGGTTGAAGAAACGTCTCCATGCTCAAACAATCAACCTTCTCGCAACCTTGCACAATGGTACAATTTTCCTCCTTATTTGGCTTATTGGAGGAGAAGTGATTAATGAAGGAGTAAATCTCAGTTTGTGAACCAAAATGCCTATTAATATGCGCGCTTGTTGCTAATCCTATAACGACCCCGGCAACAAAAACAACCAAAAATGAGAGAATTTGCAAGAGTGAGAGCAAACCCGGGTTCTTCTCATAGTCTTCTCTCTCTCCTCTGCCTCTTGCCATGGCTTACCAGTAAATAAATTCAAATTCCAAGTCTAGATTCTCACCAAATCTTGCTCAGCTCACTCCATCAAGTCTGAATCTCTTTGTCCTTTACCATATAAATTGAATCAAGACAAATCTACGAAAACCCAGTGCTTAAAATCCTTGAGATACAGGCTTCATCAACTACTAATTAGTTTTTGTAACCAAGACCCACATAATAATTGTTACCAAAAAAGAAAAAAAAAAGGAATATAACATAAAAGAAGAGTAATAAATAATAGAACCTGGAGGTACCTTAAACTCAAAACTCAGTTGATGAATGATGGATGGTGAAGATACCATCCACAAATTAAAAAGGCTTGTAGCAGGTCGAATATGAAAGGCTTTTTTTCTTTTCTAGGAAATAACAACTTGGGCTGGAAAATTCTGGGGAGGAAGAAAAGCAGAGAGATTTGGACCAAACAATTTAGTCTTGTATGTATATGATATGGAAAGGGGCAAGGATTGTGAATAAAGTCAGTGTGGTTCACAAGGAAGCCTTACGAATCCAAGCATATACAAAGTGGGGTTGGTGATGATTTTGATTGGCACCCAAGTGTGTAAGAACGAGAGAGAGAGAGGGAGAGAGAGAGAGAGAGAGAGAGAGAGAATGTTGCGTTATGATGTGTTGTGTTGTGTGCGCGTGTTGGAGTGAGAGAGAGAATCTGAGAGATGGTTCTTTTTATGGGAAGGCTGACTGAATCCGAGTGGGGGTGATTGTTGTTTTCTGTTTGCTTGTAAAGTGGAAAGTGGTGGTTACAGTTTGGAAACACCAGCAAAAGTAGAAAGTTGGACACGGTCTTTCTTTTTATACATTAAATTGGATTTTGCCCGGCTTTCCCAATTCCAATTGACTGCAACTTTCGGTGCTATCATGCGCCTGCTAACCAACCATGACCTCTTACCACCACACCACTAGCGAATCTAGGTTGGCGGTTTTTCTCCGGTTTGGTTCCATTTTTTTTAAATAAAAAAATTCGGTAAGAAGGGAATGCTTACTTACTTACCCTCAATTCTTGAAAAGAAAGGGAATAATTCCAATTCTTCACTTCTTCATATTTATGATTGGGTCTCATTTTAAATTCAGTAATTATATACTCTCAAAATTAGGAATCTGATCAACTAGTGAGATAGTTGATCCGATTCCGATTCAAGTTCTCCCTTACTACCTTTCAAAAATAACCTTACAACTTTACATTTCCTATTCTTGTACAAATTCCATATATTTAATAAAAAGAATAAGGCTGGGAATGTATATAATTCATGTACTAATTCTATATTCTTAAATTCCTTGATTTCTTACTTCCTCATTCATGATAAGTACAAATGCCAATGGTGTTTAGCTCAGTTGGTTGAACTCTTCCACATCCACTCATGTGGGCAAATGTTCAAACCTTGATGCACCCAATGAATATTTGTGTATAAACCCCATCCCACAATAGCTTGTACTAAAAAAAATGCCAAAAAATCGAACCACATAAATATAAAGGCATCAGTTCAATGGTTAAACTGACCGAATCAAACCATGCACAACCTCGATTATCACTATTAAAATACATCTTGTACACGTGTTATAATATGGGTGGATGTTATGGTTTATTTTCCTCTCTTTTAGGGAATAGAATCAATAGATTATAGATATTCACATATATTATAACACGTATACAAAATATACCACATGGTCGTACTACCGTAGTATTCTATAAACACTCTTCATTGTTAAGATTGGTCACCGTGCATTAATTAATTTGTGAATGACTTTTGCCTCCAAGTTTTAGATGGACATCATACTCAAAATGGATCCTTTATCAAATTTGATTTCCTAAGTTAAATTAGTTAACTTACCTAACTAGGATTGTTCTAATTTGCTTTTAATAAGTTCTAAGTAAGTGGAATAGCTAGAGTCGTAATTATTTGGATGGGCTCAATGTATCTAGATTAATGGGGTTCATTAATTTGGGTGCTAGTTCAATGTATGAGATGGGAGCTCAAGTCTTAAATACTTGTATGCTTAGACCTCTCAGGAGAGTTGTTGAGAATTAAAATTGAAAACAAAGAGAGTGTTCTCTCATCTTTTGCTCATAATCTGGGTATTCTTATAATCAACGTGTTTTGTGCCTAGTTCTTGGTATTCTTAGACTAAACGAGGATTAGTGGTTCGTGGTTTGTGTTTCCAACACCCTTACTCGAGTACCACTGCATCACCTTATCCTTTACACAATGGGTCGGGCTAAACCGGCTCATAGTATGGGATGGGCTAAGTCAGCCCATAGTATCGAGATGAGCTAAGTTGGCCCTTGGGCCGGGCCATCTCATAACCCAAAAATTAGGGGTGGGTTCGGGCTTGGGCCATTTTATAGACCTGCCTCTAGTTAGAGGTGTCAAACGGGCCATATCAGCCCAGCCCGGCCTGTTTAGAGTCAGCCCATTTAATAAACTGGGTGTTTCTAGCTTGTACATTTATGAAAATCATCAATCTTGGTCCAAGCCCATAGCTCAAGCCCATATGGGCTCGAGCCATGCTCGAACCAGGCCACTAAACGACCAAGATAGGCCCATGCCAAATTTGACTTATGTATTGCATTTTTTTTTTTGTAATTTTTTTTACAACTACATTTAAATCTATTTTACAATTATGTATATAATAACAAGATTTATTATTTGTTGAAAAAAGTGGTCATTAACTTTCTTTAAATAGAAAATGACTAGATTATTGTATGGATTTTAAAAATTAAAACTTGAAAAACAAAATCATTATTTTATACTAGCCTCTCCGAACACGCTTCCGCGCATGCGAGAGGCTTTTTTTTAAAAAAAAAAATTTATTTTATTTTAGAATTAAAAAAGATAATGGATAGTTGTGTTTCATAAAAATAGGATCCATTATCTTATTTTTTTTTTAATTTTAATTTTTTTAAATATGAAAAAGTGTGAATTTACCATATTATTCTCATTTAATTAATAATTTCAATTCTTAATGTTTGCATTAACCAAGGGCATTTTCTGGTATTTTGAATGTTTCGCCATTCTCTACCTTTTGCTTTATATAGATAGATATATAAAGAAAACATTAAATTTTAATACATATTATTAGAGAAAAGAAATTGAATTGAATTTAAGATATAAATGTAATAATAATATGTATTATTTTTCCCTAAAACAAATGTAATTTAATAAATGGGCTTTAATGGGCCGGCCCATTGGGTTTCGGCTCGATTGGCCCATGGGCCTGCTCATGTAGTGCCAGGCCAGCTCGGTCCATTTAACACCTCTATCTCTAGTGGAGGGATAATTGCTCTTAACAGCTTGAGCAAATATATAAATAGTTGTATTTTCGGAATAAAAAATTGAATTTAAGAGTTTGGTCATTAGAGACGGTCTAACATACGTACCTAAGGTGGAAGGATTATTCGAAGCAATAGTGCCTAAATTAAAGCCCAATTTGCATTTTGATCTTTTAATTTTCAAAATGGATGTTGTTGTCCTTCAACTACATTTTCGTTAGCAATAGAGGTCTTGGCGTCAATTATACACTGGACCAATGTTTATCTTTGTCTTGTCCTTATCCTCATCAATGATCTCATCAAAACCAATGTTTGTTATGTTACCATGTTTACGTGGAAGTACTGACAAATCGTCTAGAAGGAAATTAAAAAAAATGGCATTTTCATTTTTAATAGGATCTTCTTGTTTCTAGCAGGAACACAATTTTTTTATTTTTTTTTCTAAAAGATTGCACGAATCAAGAGAAGTTTCTTGAGAAGACAAAGGAGAGAAGAACTGAACAAGTCTTGAAATTTATGAGAGAGAGATTGAGAGAGGATGGAATTGGAGGAGAATAGTATAGAAATAGACAAGAAAGAGGAAATGAAATTGAGACAACCACTTCTTGTGAAGAACAGGAGAAACCACACCTCTCAGCATGCCATTGTTGGTGTCAATCTCTGCCCCATTGAAAGCCTGGACTATGAGTTTGTTTCCTTCCCTCCTCTTCTCATTTTCTTTCTCTTTCTCTTTGTTGTTGTTGTTTTTGTTTTTCAATATTATTTTTCCCTGTTTGCTTGTCCAGCCAGACAATGGTCATATTGGATTGATTTATCATGGGTTAACTTATTTCTTCCATTTCCAAAAAGTGTTCTTTGGATCTCATTACATGATTTATTTTTGCTCCCCAACAAATTAGCTAGAAATTGGAGAAACATAAAGAAGTGATTTTGAAACTTGTTATGTTCTGGCATCCCAGAAAATGAAGAAAGCAAACTTTGAAGCCTTTTCTGTTTAATGAAGAAAGCAAATTTATAAACTTATACCTTTTTGCTCCCCAACAAATTAGCCAGAAATTGGAGAAACATAAAGAAGTGATTTTGAAACTTGTTATGTTCTGGCATCCCAGAAAATGAAGAAAGCAAACTTTGAAGCCTTTTCTGTTTAATGAAGAAAGCAAATTTATAAACTTATACCGCACCGAATTTCAGTACAGAGCTTTTGTGGATTTAAAACTTAATTGTTAACAATCTTGTATATGTTGCCTCACTGATTTATCTCAGGTTTCTTGTAGAATTATCGAGAATGATCTTTTTAAGCAGGACTGGAGGTCTAGAACGAGGGTTGAGATCCTTCAGTATGTTTCCCTCAAATGGACACTTGTGCTCCTTATTGGGCTAAGCACTGGGTTAGTTGGGTTTTTCAATAACCTAGCTGTTGAGAACATAGCTGGTTTCAAACTTTTTCTTACCAACAACCTCATGCTTCAAGAAAAGTAAGCCTAGCTTCTATTGCATTAGTACTATCTGAGTTTCAATACAATGTGCCCCACCCCCTTCTTTTATTTTTATTGTTCCAGGTGCATCCATCTGCGGGTTTTGTTTTATGGGATAACCTAATCGTTGTAGTTTATCGAACCATGACATTGATAACATGGCATGTTCGTGCGAGTGTTTGACATTTCATATTCATATTATGTGAACAATCAGAGTAGAGTCACAAAAACATTTCCCATATTTTGGACGTCAAATGATATCGCAAATGAAACACTGCTACATTATTTGGGATTTGGTTTTGGTGTCTCTAACAATACTCACTTGTAAAATGACCTCAGAGGGATATAGAACTCTAAATGTTAGAGAACGAGAGAGAATAATTCTTCTCTGAATTATACAACTGTTTATACAAGTAGATTATAATTGTGAAAAAACACCTAGTTACATAATCAAGGGCTAATTAGCTCCTAAGTTTCAGCAAGCAGATGATAGCCTAATTACAATCTATCAATCGTAATCACAGATAATTAGATCAATATCAATTAATATCTTCCAACACAATATTTCTAGTCAAGTAAATTACAAGGCCTGTGTGTAACTGTATTATTAGTTTCTTTTACTGCTATTGCTCGTTGGTAGTTAAATTTTTGCCACTTTTTTAGAGAGTTTCTTCCACTAAAGTTGTGTAAGTACTATAGGTATGCTAAAGATGGTTGCGTAAAGCTGACAAGGTATTTAAAAATTTATTTTGTAATAATTACATAGTCTCAACTTGGCAGATTTTTGGTTCTGTATTTGGAGTAGCTGCTGGGTTTGTAGTGGGTAAGGAAGGACCTATGGTACACACTGGCGCTTGCATAGCCTCTTTGTTTGGACAGGGTGGCTCTCGCAAGTATCATTTGACCTGGAAATGTCTCAGGTACTTCAAAAATGACCGGGACCGACGGGATCTGATTACCTGTGGTGCTGCGGCTGGTGTTGCAGCTGCCTTCCGTGCTCCAGTTGGCGGTGTCCTTTTTGCACTAGAAGAAGCAGCTTCATGGTATATATCCTTTTCACATAGATTTTTTTAACGTCTCATGCAACTAGGGATATATAACTATTTTTAGCTTAAAAGAGCAGCTGTCTTTTTCTGTTTCGCAGTGTAATAATCTATTGTAGAAACTTTAATATTTCATCAGATTGAGGTATATTACTTTGTCGACATTTTCTTCCTTCCTTCTATTCTGGCTTGGAGTAATTTTTGTCTTCATTTATCACAAGGTGGAGGAGTGCTCTTCTTTGGAGGACATTTTTCACAACAGCTGTTGTAGCAGTATTGCTAAGAGGTTTCATAGAATTTTGCAAGGGTGGTAAATGTGGACTATTTGGCGAAGGAGGCCTTATCATGTTTGATGTCAGTTCAGCAAAGGTGGCTTATAGCAGCACTGATCTACTGGCAGTCATATCCGTTGGAGCCATTGGAGGCATTTTGGGAAGCCTTTACAATTTCCTTGTGGACAAAGTCCTTCGAACGTATAGCATCATAAATAAGTATGCTTTGAAATTTCAATTTATAAGATGGTTAAATTTGTCATTATAATAGAACACTATAGCCACACACAAGAACACATAAAATTGATGTGTAAAATATTTTCATCATGTATAAGCCAAAAATTTGCATTTCGTCTTCTCAACACTACACATTTTACCCTCAGTAGAAAATCTAAGGAAAAAGAAAAGAATCACATTTGTTTTAATAAGTTTGATAATAATCTGTTCTCAATTCCAGTTATAAAACCATATGCTTTTGAGTTTTCTTATTATTTTTGAATTTCTCAACTTCATTTTTCTTCCTCTTGATTATCTGGGGACCAGATGTTCTCAGAATTCAGATAGTCATTGGGCATTAGCTTTCAAACTTGTTGAAATGCTTTTATATGGTGGAACATTACATGCACATAATTGATGTATGTTTGTAATTTTTCTCATTCTCAGTTTATGCAGTTTGTTCTGTTGCTGATTACTGAGAATGATTTACAGGAGAGGTCCTTCATGTAAAATTTTGCTCGTCGTTACCATTTCCCTTTTGACTTCTTGTTGCTCTTACGGCCTCCCATGGCTTTCACCGTGCATTCCTTGTCCCCATCACCTGGAGGACCACTGCCCCACCATAGGTCGCTCCGGAAACTACAAGAATTTCCAGTGTCCACCTAAGCACTACAATGGCCTCGCCTCACTCTTTTTCAGTACCAATGATGATGCTATCCGCAACCTTTTAAGCTCTAGCTCTGATGGGGAGTTCCACCTCTCCACTCTGTTTGGTTTCTTTGTTGCGGTGTACTGCCTGGGCATTGTCACTTATGGTATTGCTGTTCCCTCTGGTCTCTTCATCCCTGTTATACTTGCTGGGTCCTCCTATGGGCGCCTTGTCGGGACTCTCCTTGGTTCTCACTGTGAACTTGATGCGGGTCTCTTTTCCCTCCTTGGAGCTGCCTCCTTCCTTGGTGGCACCATGAGAACGACTGTTTCCCTCTGTGTCATACTTCTTGAGCTTACTAACAATCTTCTGATGCTTCCACTAATGATGTTAGTTCTCCTAATTTCGAAAAGTGTGGCTGATTGTTTCAACAAGGGTGTCTATGACCAAATTGTGAAGATGAAGGGATTGCCTTATATGGAGGCGCATTCAGAACCATACATGAAACACCTGGTTGCAAGTGATGTTCTTTCCGGTCCCTTGGTTTCATTTTCTGGGGTGGAAAAAGTGGGGAATATACTGCATGCACTCAAAACAAGAGCGCATAATGGGTTCCCTGTGATTGATGAGCCACCTTTCTCAAATGATGCAGAGCTGTGTGGGCTGGTTTTGAGATCTCATTTACTTGTGTTGCTTAAAGAAAAGAAATTTACAAAACACAGGGTGTTGATAGGATCAGCAGATATTATGAATAGACTCAAAGCACATGATTTTGGAAAGGCGGGATTAGGCAAGGGGGTTAGGCTGGAGGATTTGGACATCGAGGAGGAAGAGATGGAGATGTATATGGATCTCCATCCCATTACTAATACCTCCCCATACACTGTAGTTGAAACAATGTCCCTAGCTAAAGCTGCAATTTTCTTTCGGGAGCTTGGCCTAAGGCACTTGCTGGTGGTGCCCAAGACACCAGGGGTACGTTTGAAATGATTTCAGATTTCGATGTGTTCTTTGTAGTACAAGGTTATTTCTGTTTCTAGCTAACAGCTAGAAAAGAAGGATTAAATCCCCCAACTTACTAAAAGTTCCCCTATAATGCAGAAGCCTCCGGTTGTTGGAATCTTGACAAGGCACGACTTCATGGCAGAGCACATATTGGGACTCTACTCGTACTTCAATCCTCACGAGTAAAAAACGCGATCAAAGTAAGAAATTTTCAGTTTTCATTAATTTAATTTTATATTTTTATGTTTAACTTTAAAGCTATTCTGATTGTTCTTTGTTACTTTAGTTACTGGTAGTTACATGAATACCTTAATACAATGTTCTTTTGTTATTGAATTTTGACTTTGTTTCATTTATGGTTGGATTATTGTGAATCAGAGCTTTTATTCTAGTAATGACTAGAATATAACATCTGAGTTTCTGAAGCTGGGAAATGCAGGTAATTCTTTAGTAGTTATAAATACTCCTTCAAACCAAGTTCAATTGAGACTAGAGGCATCTTGAAGTTTCAAAACTGTGAGTGGTCCTTGAGAGTTCTGAGCACTTCAGTCATCATCTTCTGGGCGGCTCAGTGGTTTCGAGACTTGTGTTATCCTTCCTCAAGGTTCACTCTGGAGGTGCATAAGATATGACAAATTGCTCTACTTTCATGTCTATTTGGTAAGTTACCAAGTAAACCTAGAGGAGCTGACTGCATTTGTTCTTGTGATTTGAATGTTGCAGCCTGCTGTGTTCTCTCATTTGGGTTCTTCCGCAACCTTACTAAATTGTCAAACTCAACAAGTAACCCTGTCCAGATCCGTGCAGTACATATTTATTTGATGTATGTCTTTTGAAGGAGCATGTAATCCTTGATTTATGTAGAGCATACAGTCACCTGAAATTTTCTTATAATTATATAAATCAACTTTAGTGTCATGCAGCTTATGCACTGGTAGCCTTAAGAGCACTTGAATGTTGATTGATCTTGATACATGCTTGAATCTTCCAATAAATCATACCCGCACGGCTATACTTTTCAAATAGGATTCTATTCTTTAAAGATATTTCCACATTGCACCAACAATAAAAATATGGATTTAAATTTGCCGGATTAGACCTCTCCCAATAAAATTTCGTCGGAAGAGGTTCCTTTTAAAAATAAATATGAACTTAGTATCTTTAGGTCAATAGATTTTTTTTATTTATAAAAATTCTTTTTATTAATTAAATCATATCTTAGACTTATTTAATTACTTTCATTAGTTATTACGTTTTAATTAATATTTTTTTAGTGAATAATTAGGATTCAGTATTTAATTAACTTCACAAATTATATTACGTATTAAATAGTAATTAATTATTATTTTTAAAATTTCTTTAATAAAATATGTAACTACTAATTATTCACTAGGTAAATAATAATTAAAACATAACTACTAATTAAAGTAATTAAAAAGAGAAAACAAAATTATCATACAAGGCTATACTTTTGAAATATCCTATTTACAGAGTATAGCCGTTCGGCTATTCAGTTGGAAAAATTCATTTCAACTAGTATAGCCGGACGACTATACCTTTGAAATTTCTATTTATAGAGTATGGCCGCGCGGCTATACTATTGAAATATTCGATTTGTAGAGTCTAGCCGGGCGGCTATACCTTTGAAATATTATATTCTTTAAAGATATTTCCACATTGCACCAACAAATATAGATTGAATTTTGCCAGATTAGACCTCTCGATGAAATTTCTTCGAAAGAGGTTTCTTTTAAAAATAAATATGAAATTAGTATCCTTAGGTCAATAGAATTTTTTTTAAAAAAACTTTCTTTTTATTAATTAAATCATATCTTAGGCTTATTTAATTAATTTCATTAGTTATTATGTTTTAATTATTATTTTTTAAGTGAATAATTAGGATTCAATATTTTAATTAACTCCACAAATTATATTACGTAATAAATAGTAATTAGTTTTTTTAATTTTTTTCTATGATAAAATATGTAACTACTAATTATTCACTAGGTAAATAATAATTAAAACATAACTACTAATTAAAGTAAACAAAAAGAGAAAACCAAATTATGATATTTACAGAGCATAGCCGTGCGGCGATACCTTTGAAATATTTTATTCACAGTAGAGTATAGTCGGTCGGTTATACTGTTGGAAAAATTATGATATTTATAGGGTATAGCCGCGCGGCGATACTTTTGAAATATTCTATTTATAGAGTATGGCTGCGCTGCTATATGCAAGTGGTGTAAACAATTTAGTACACAATTAAAGTATACAAGTTACACAATTACAGCAAAATTGTCTACAAATAGAGTAAACTGGGCGATTTTTCCCAAATTTGCCTTTTAGAAAAGTATAATAGCTTTATACAGTCCCAAAGATCAATCTTGAAGTTGGATCATATATAAGATTTGGATGAAGTTGGATCAATCCTGCCAAGACTAGATTTATGTTCGCTCTGCTGATGAAAGGAGTTAACTTACAATAAAGCTGATATTTTGTAAATACGTAATTATCTTGAATATATTAACTAATTGATTCATTCAAGAATCAATGTTATTAGCTGTGAATTTGAACTTTTTGGTATTTTTTTTCGTTTCTAAAAACATCGATTGCTTGTTGAAATTAAATAACTGATATTGGTTTCCCTCGACCAGAACCCTCTGTACCACATCTTAATAACAGTAAGCTACCATTTCTAAGATTGTTGTGTTTTGTTAATTAGTAGGTTAGTTTTCTGTGCATGGCTAATGGTACGTTGAAGGGGTACTATATATATATACCCCTCTGTAAGACGGGCTTGGCTATCCACCCTCGAGTTGAAGTTTAATCTGAAAATTAAATATTATTGATTCAAGAATCAAGCAAGAGTTTTGTTAGGAGGTCATGGCATCCTCATCCCCATTTTGTAGGATTTTACAAGGGATATGTGCCATTGCTTTGATTGCATCTTTGTCACAAGGTCTGCGTTTTAATTCATTTCCACTTTTTTTCTTCTTGTAATTATACATTTTGGTGGAGCTTTTTCACAACAAAATTTTAGTACCATATTCATGGCACACCAGTAATTAACCCTCCGTTTGGATGAAAGAATTGAAAATTACATAGAATTCTAAAATGACTGAATTTAGATTTCTATCATTTTAATTTCTAGCAATTGAAGATTTCAGTGTTTGGATTTATGTACGTAGAATTTTGTAAATGACACTATGAAAATTGTGAAATGACGTATATTTTGGTGGAAATTAAACTTGGGAATTTGATGCCCCAATTTCCACAAATTTTACACACGTCATTTAATAAGTTCCGCGCTTAAGTTGCCAAACAAGGGAATTGTCAATTTCTCCTCTTAAATTCCCAACTTTTAGCTAAATTCCAAGTTATTTACCCATATTGCTTTTAGCTAATTAGGAAATTCCAGCTGAATCCCATTACCAAAAAAAATGAGTTAATTAAAGCATTTCAGTTTTTTTTTATAAAAAAAATCAAAAAAATGCCTCAAAGGACTGATCAATTAAATGCATGCAGCTCCTGTGAATGCCGAGAGGAAGTTGCAGGGATTGCAAAATGCATCAAACTCTGAAGAATTGGAAGTAAAGAGGTCTGACTTCTCAAGCGATTTCGTGTTTGGAGTCTGCACTGCTGCTGCACAGGTTCACCATTAACTCCAGTTGTAAATCTGTTATACATCATTTCATTTCTATCCTTTTTTATTGTGTGTGTGTATATATTTTTATGTACCTATTATGATATGATACTACTGGGTGCAGATTGAAGGATCAGCAAACGAAGCAGGAAAAGGACCAAGTGTTTGGGACCACCATATTGAGAAATACCCAGGTTCATATCCACAACTGTTTACGTAAAAATTGCTTTAGTTTACCAACTTATTTTGTGCTCATTTTCTTCTCTGTTATTTTCCTTTACATTTTAGAAAGAATTCAGGATGGCTCTAACCTTGCGTCCATCGATTCATATAAGCGATACAAGGTGTGTAAGAGCTAGCAATATTTTCATCTCTTTTTTTGGGCATATATCTGACCTAGCTATATTAAATTTGTAATTACAGGAAGATGTGAAGGCTCTGAAGGACCTTGGAGTTGATTCTTATAGATTTTCTATCTCCTGGACCAGGATTCTTCCTAGTAAGAACATTCTCTCATTAACTGGTTTGGTTAGAAATGTAAGAGAGGATGAAAAGAATGGCTTTAATAAGTTTACTATAGAGATTTGTTACATATTAGACTTGATCTCTCCTAATTAAACTCATTGCTTCAATTGTTTGAAATTTTGGACATGTAGAGGGAACTTTGAGTGGTGGAGTAAATCAGGAAGGCATTGACCACTACAACAGCTTGATTGATGAATTACTCAAGAACGGTAAGTAGCTCGATAATTGCTTTTAGTGGTAAGATCTTAGTTGTGTAAACTCTTGTTTTTTCGATTACCGTTTTCACATACAATGCTATATTTTCTTATAATTTGTCTAGAACTTCATTACATATATATATCTAGAATCCTATGTTATGATGTGTGATGCTCTATTTTCTTACAATTTGTGTGTAATTCTATGTTTTGATGCAGGCATCACACCTTATGTGACCATATTACACTTTGACCCTCCACAAGCTTTGACAGACAAGTATGGAGGTGTCCTAAATCGCTCTTTTGTGTAAGCAAGCACTTTTCTCTTGTTATATATACCAACTACTTTCCATCTTTTGATCAAATACGAAAGTTAATTATGTATTATCGAATGCCATTCCGAGTGCTAATTATGTTTGGATTAATATTCAGGGATGATTTCAAGGATTACAGTGAACTTTGTTTTAAAACCTATGGTGATAGGGTCAAGAATTGGATTACGATCAATGAGCCATATATTATGGCTAAGAATGGTTATGACTTGGGAGTTGCTCCACCAGCCAGGTGTTCTGTACGAGCACGTTTTCCATGTACGGTTGGTAATTCTGCTACTGAACCTTACATTGTGAGCCATAACCTTCTCCTTGCCCATGCTACTGTTTTCAAGCTCTACAAAGACAAGTTTCAGGTGAGCCCTGTGCATCAAATTCAAGATTAAATATATTATTAGTCTCTAATTTTCATTGATGAATAATGTCTAGATTTCTCTAGGCACAACAAGGTGGACAAATTGGAATCAGTCTTGTTGGACCATATTATGAGCCTTATTCAGGTTCAGCAGAAGACAAAGCTGCAGTAAAGAGAATTATGGACTTTGAACTTGGATGGTTAGTAAATCCATTTTAACTTCATCTTAATCAATTAATTACTTGCTAATTGAGTAATTTGTACTTCTTCTCAATCAATATTAAGTTAACACACACAAATGAGTATGTTTGTTTCCTTATTTAGGTACATGGAGCCATTAGTATACGGAGATTATCCCAAGTCTATGAGAGGTTTAGTCAAGGACAGGCTACCCACTTTCACCCAAGAAGAGAAGAAATTGCTCAAGGGATCCTTTGATTTTATCGGCATCAATTACTATACCACAAGATATGTTAAAAACCAACCAGCAAGTACAGCTAAAGCAGTCGCCTATCGCTTCGATTCTTTAACATTATCTAACTTGACCGAAAGTAAATAAATCTACATTGTCCTGTATTTACCACCACTACTGTGCTTGTTTGTGTGTTCATTTTCTCAGCAAGCGTTTGTATGTATGAATGATAGATAGATAGATAGATAGATAGATAGATAGATAGACAAAAGCCTGACATGATTTTGGTTTTCCTCATGTTGTGATTGTTGCAGATATAGATGGAGTCTCAATTGGTCCTTTGGTAAGAATAATGATATGAACACTATTGCGGAGCAAATTGTACAAGCAATATTTTCCAAAAAAATTCAACCTTGTTTACCTTTACAGGCTGAAGGAAGCAATTTTGTCATCA